GGGTAAGACAGAGGGAGAGTATTCTATGGGATTTAAATGCAAACAAGTAGTGAATAAATAAGAGTTCCTTTGCAGAAGTACACCAATAACCATGATATTTCACCCTAATTCCACTGTTTATAAAAGTTTAAAAAGAAATAATAGTCTTATCAGAAGAGAAAAAAGATTATGAGATGACTTTGGAAAGAAGAATGCTTATGCAAGTTTAGATGGAGGAGGAATAGTGAGAGTAAGTGATAGAAGTGTAAGACAAAATAAAGTTAACTGCAACAATAATAAAGCTCAGGGGACTTCTGACAAGATGGAGGCATAGTTGGAAACACTTTGCCTCCTTGCACAACCAAATTTAAAAGCAACAAAGTTTTAACAATAATAAACGCAACCAAACCACACAAAATCAAACAATACGGAGTCCAAAAACAACGAAAAGCTCACCTAAACTGGTGAGAAGGGCGAAGCCAGCAGCAGAGTGGTCAGGCAAAAACAATCCCCTGACCCTGGCGGCGCGCAAGCAGCCAAGAGTGCGAATCCCAGGTGCAGGGTAGCTACGGGAAGGCTCGGGGCATGGCTGTCTGTCTGAGGTCACGCATTTGCTTGCAGATAAACGAGTGAAGAGATGTGCACTGAGACAGACCGTGCAGGCCCCGGCGCAGGGCAGCGAACTCTCACATTTGCACTCAGATAAACAGGCAGGGGCGAGTGGTGAGGTGGACCAGGCGAGCAGAGAGGACCACCATTGCTCCCTCTCTGACCCCACCCCCACATACAGTGTCACAAACCAGCAACCTGGGTGGCCCCACCCTGGTGAATACCTAAGGTGCCTCTCCTCATACATAACAGGCACGAACAGATCAAAACATGGCTCAAGAACAACTCAGAGCCCCAGAGCCAATAAATCTAAGCAATGAAGAAATAGCCAAACTTTCAGATGCACAGTTCAAAACACTGGTGATCAGGATGCTCACAGAACTGGTTGATTTTAGTCACAAATTAGAGGAACATATGAAGGCTAAACTAATTGAAATGAATGGAAATGCACAGGAAACCAATAGTAATGGAAAGGAAACTGAGACTCAAATCAAGGGAGCAGACCAGAAGGAAGGAAAAGATGACCAAACAGAAAAGGATGAAGAAACAAGAATTCAAAAAAATGAGGAGAGGACTTCCGCCAAAATGGAGGCATAGGAGGAGAGGCTGTGCTTCCTCACACAACCAAGTTTAGAGACAACTAAATAATAGCAACAGAAAACACAGCCAGAACACAGAAAATTGAACTTTTCGGAAGTCTGATAACAACAAATTCTTCAGTCTGACCGGTAAGGGGCGAAACCAGCAGCTGGCAGAGTGGAGTAGCACAGGAAAACTCGGTCAGACGGACTCAGGCGCGCGGAATCCAGGTGCAGGGCTGGACCTGGTGGGCAACTCTGCAAGCAATCGCGGGGAAACAGCGAGGGAGCAGGGCTGTGGGTTGACTGTGGTTGTGCATTCCTTCAGAGATAGACAAGCCAGGGAGTGGGCAATTGGACGAGAGCCAGCAGCCCCAGCGGCAAGTGGCGGCGGAGGGTGCAGCCATTGCCCCCGATCTAACCCTGCCTGCACATACAGCATCATAATCCAGCGACCTAAGTGGCCCTGCCCCGGTGAACAACCTTAGGCTCTGCTCTTCACCCTGCTGCGAGAAACAGCAGAGGGGACCGCCATTTCCCCACTCTGACCCCGCCTCCACATACAGCGTCACAACCCGGCGACCTGGGAGTCCAAGGCTCCACTCCTAACACTTAATGGCGCGAACAGACCAAAAATGGCTCAAGAAGATCTCAAAACCCCAGAGCCTATAAATCTAAGCAATGAAGAAATAGCAAAACTCTCAGATGCACAGTTTCAAACACTGGTGATCAGGATCCTCACAGAACTGGTCGATTATAGCCACAAATTAGACAAACATATGAAGGTGAAACTAATTGAAATGAATGGAATTGCACAGGAAACCAATAGCAATGAAAAGGAAACTGGGACTCAAATCAATGGAGTGGACCAGAAGAAAGCAAATAATGGCCAAACAGAAAAGAGTGAAGAAGCAAGAATTCAAAAAAATGAGGAGAGTCTTAGGAACCTCCAGGACATCTTTAAACGCTCCAACATCCGAATTATAGGGGTACCAGAAGGGGGAAAGGAACAGCCACCAGTGGAAAACTTATTTGAACAAATAATAAAGGAGAACTTCCCCAATCTGGCAAAGGAAATAGACTTCCAGGAAATCCAGGAAGCTCAGAGAGTCCCAAAGAAGTTGGATCCAAGGAGGAACACACCAAGGCACATCATAATTACATTAGCCAAGATGAAAATGAAGGAGAGAATCCTAGAAGCAGCAAGAGATAAGGGGACAGTCACCTACAAGGGAGTTCCCATCAGACTGTCAGCTGATTTCTCAAAAGAGACCTTCCAGGCAAGAAGGGGCTGGAAAGAAGTATTCCAAGTCATGAAATCCAAAGAGCTACAACCAAGATTGCTCTATCCAGCAAAGCTTTCATTTGGAATGGAAGGACAGATAAAGTGCTTCTCAGATAAGATCAAATTCAAGGAGTTCATCTTCACCAAGCCCTTATTATATGAGATGTTTAAGGGACTTATGTAAAAATAAGATAAAAAAGATGAACAGTGAAAGGACAGCAAACTCACAGTTATTAACAACCACACCTAAAACAAAAGCAAATTAAGAGGACAGCTAGATCAGGAGTGAACCATAGAAATGAAGATCACATGGAGGATTAGCAACAGGGGAGTGGGAGAAGGAGAAGGGGGTAGAAGGTACAGAAAATAAGTAGCATAGATGGTAGATAGAAAATAGATGGGGGGAGGGCAAGAATAGTAGGGGAAACATAGAATCTAAAGAACTTGAGACATGTGTTCACAAACTAAAGGGGGGGAATGGTGGGGGAAAGGTGTGCAGGGTAGGGAGGAATGAAGGGGGAAATGGAACAAATGTAATGGCATAATCAATAAAATAAAACATATTTATAAAGATAAAAAAATAAAAGTTGGTGAATTAAAAAAATAATAATAAAGCTCAGGATGGCAAAATCTATTAATACCATGAATAACAATAGTATGATAACAAATATATAATCTGGCCTTGCAAGTATAAAACATGCAAGTGCTGAAAGATATCAAAGTTAAATTTATCTCAATTGTTGGTGTGCTCCACTGATTTTTTCTGAATCCTTCTCTGGTTTTCTCACAGCTTCAGGTCATATTGTCTTACTTTTGGGAAGTGGGGAGGCTCCTACTTATATTACACCCACCAAACCAGTTTTGCAGGTCTTTCAGGATCCTGCAGGCAGAGGCTGGCTGAGATCCCTTTTTTCTTTCCTGTGGTTCTGCAAAGATGGGGTTCAGTCTGGATACAATAATCACAGGTTCCCAGTTTCCATCTTATTCCCTCAGAGCACTGTGGAGCCCGCCCTGTCCACTCTGCACTTTTTGCCATCTAGTCAATAAACCACCTCATTTTGTGATCCTTTCACCAATCCATGAGGCGCCCTGAGTGGGAGCAAATCGCTGCCCCCACCCATCTTCTCTGGCCGGGCTGCTGGTGCATGCAATTTCTGCCAACACAAGGTCCCTACATGGCTCCTTCTCCTTTTTTTTTTGAGAAGTCTCCCAGGTGCCTCCTGCTGCATCTAACAAACACCTGTATTTCCACACAGTCAACTTTCTGACCAGTCCAGAGTCTATCCAGGTCATGGCCAGTTGGGGCCCATCTCTTTTCTCAGCTCTGGGTGCCACTGGCTTCCCAACTTTTCTGTACTGTCCCAGCTGGTGACTCCCACCCCAGCTGGGGTATGCCAGCAGCTGTCTGTCACTTACAGCCTTTTTATCTCCCTAGCGACTTGACCTGTCCAGGTCTCTGTTAGCATCGGTTTGAGACTTCCTGGCTTTGGGAGGGCAGGGAGCCTGCTCAGTTGCTATCACTGACCTGGCTCTCCTCCAGTGCTTCCACAGCAGCTGTGGTCTCGGTCACAAGGCTCAAGGACCTTCTTTTCAGCCTACAAAATCTCCTTACCATCTGTTTTTAAGCATCCTCTACACGTTTTGGCTTCCAAACTTCATGTCAGCTGGGATTCTCTTGGCTGTTCACTGTGTTCTTAGGAAGATTGGGTAGGTGTTCCAGCAAGTAGATTTAGCTCCCATCCACCTCTCCACCATCTTCTTCCCTGTCCACCTTTTATAGAGATACTTAAGCTTTCTCTATCAAGAATGTGAGGTAACAAGTATTTCATACATTTAATTTTCTTAAGGTACCAGAATGTGTATCTTGCATAATTCAGGTTCATACTACTATAACAGAATTATGTATGTCACATCCCAGCAATGCATCTAAACCCTGAAGCTATCCAGTGACTGAACCATCAACTGCAAAATAAACCAGCAATCTCTCACAGGGATTTTTTGTCAATGTACAGTAGAAATAATTAGAAGGAAGCAGAGGGAAGCACTGTCATTGATATGTTATTGAAATCATTGCAGGCCTGAATTTCAATAACTACATCTGCAGTAGAGACAGGCTAAAATTGTGTTAGCAAAATTCTTATAGAACCATTCCAATTTTCAGATTTTTCATGCACTCTTATGTGTGTCTGGCAGCACATCTATCCGACTAGCTGAAAGTTGCAGTGGTTCTACTTCTATGCTTATAAACATAGCCTGAGACTATGTTTATACGATACAAAATGTGGTCAATTTAGAAAAGCAAGAGGGAGAAGTAAAAACCACTACTAGGATTTTTAAGGCCAAAACACTGGTATATGATTTATGTTATTTAAGCATACTTTTAATCCTATATTTATACTGTCTAAATAGTGGGTTGTTGGTTTGTTTTGGTTTGGTTTTGGTTTCTAATGTTCAGGTGGTATATATTGCTTTCCATTGCCTTATAAAAATAATATCTTCTTGATATTACTTTAGGAAGTTTATTCTGTTTTTGTTTTGCTTTTGTCTAGGAAGCTGTTGCTGAACCTCCCCCATCCTGTGGATTGTAACAGCGCCAAAGCTTTCTATATCCTGGAAACTGAAACTCTTGAAGTTACTGTAAATTTGAAGAGAGAGTTAGATTTTGTTAATTTTTTCTGAAGCTGCATGAATGAAGCAAAAACATGGCAAAATAACCCTGTTATAAAAATTTTAACATTGGTTAATATTTTCTCTCTTCTCTTTATTATCCCTACATACTTCAGAAAGGGCCTAAATTCAATTATACTGTCATTCTGATCATTTACAGTCATTTCTGTTATACTGGTAGAGAACATTGTTTTCTCATATTAATAAGCTCTTCCATTTTTATAGTGATAGCTGGATAGAATTTATAGGTTAACTGTTAGATTATTGTATGATCAATTAAATAACAGATATGACCATAAAGAAGTTGCTCTACTTATTTTGGTAGTCTTAAACATTTAAGCCATTTAATTTTGCCTTGATGCAATCAGTTGCATAGTAATTGGTCATTACTATCACCAGAAAAGTATATTTGGTTTTCTTTGCATTGACTTTATCAAATGACTTACTGACTATTCTCCATTTAGGTTCTCATTGTTGTTCTAGAATGTACAAATAACAAAGGATTATAAATAGTTGGGTGCACCATACTAACAACATGTTTTACTTGAACATGAAATACTCTTAAGCACACTGTGTTATTTGGCTTCATCAGTCCTGCTGTCAGTATTTGGATCTAGGATCTAGTTAGGTTAAAAATATTTTTTCTTAGCTAAACAATAAAACAAACAAGCAAACAGAATAAAAACAAAGACACTGAAATAGAGAACAAGTGGGCAGCGACCAGAGGGGAGAGGGAAGGGAATTTAAGGGGAAAAATGGGGAGGGATTTTGAGGAACAAGTATGAAAGACACAGGGATGAGGACGGGGGGGGGGTGAAATGGGAGGGAGGGGGGAGACGGGGCAGGGGGGGTGGGATGGGAGAAATAGATTAAAAAATGTACTTGAAAAATAACTAAATAAAATTTATATAAAAAATTTTTCATTTACGCACTAATGATTATTAACAATGCCTTTCAGCATACCGTGTTTATATTTAGTAATTGAAATCCTTGACTTTTAAAAGGAATATAAAGAAAAGTGTGATGCATTTACAAATTGTGTTCTCTCATTTCTTGTCTTTATTCTTAAATTGGGCATACCTATTTTACAAATTATGCCTATGTCCCCTACCTCTTCTCTACTGATTTGTGTAAGTTTATTTCAGAATTATTTATGGATAAATTATATTTTAAAGCTTGTGTGACCTTGCCTCACACATCACTGTAGAACTGTGGTGTTACATGGGAGAAAATTCAGAAGAGATGAGTGACTGAAAGATATGTATAGCTTCTACATGAATTATTAAGGGACTAAATACTCAAGCATATATTGTTTTTTTAAATATTTTATTTATTTATTTTTTGAGATGGGAAGGGAGGGAAAGAGAGGGAGAGAAACATCCATATGTGGTTGCCTCTCACATTCCTCTTACTAGGGACCTGGCCTGCAATCCAGGTATGTGCCCTGACTGGGAATCGAACTGGCAACCTTTCAGTTTGCAAGCTGGCAATCAACCCACTGAGCCATACCAGCTAGGCCTGTAGCAGATATTTTCTAGACTTATGTAGATAACTATCAAGCATCTAGTTTGTGACTAGATCAAATTTAAAGAAAAGACTGAGATTTTGGAAGAAGTGGTTGTGTTAAAGCACTAAGCTCTTGTAGAGAATTTGGCATTGAAGTTACCATCATGACTTTCTTCTGTGGAGGTTAAAGGTTGAAGGTGGGTTTAACTGAAAGAAAGCTAGATCTGAATGTTGCATGATGTTGCAGGATCAAAAGAGCATTGTACATTGTTTTCTTAGCATATTTTTACAAGGCTGTATTTTAAGAATTTAAGATTATACCATAATGTATAAACTCTGGAGCAATCCTAAACTGTAACCAATATTTTTCTTCTCTAGAGTAGCAACAGAGAGTAAATCAGAAAATGTATCTCTTTTTCCTATGTACTGGGCCTAATTACAGAGACGGTCATTACTCAAGCTGACTGAATGTGTACAAGTTGTCCCTGTAAGAGAAGGTAGAACATATTGAGGCCAACTCGTATTGGGCTATGGTTATGTGTTACTGTATAAATTGTATAATGAAAAAGAGCTTCAAGACCATGAAATGTGATACACTAATTTATACCCATCTACACATCATTCTATTTCACTGTCCTTGTGTCCTTAACATCAGAAGTAACAACTTTATTGTTATTTTGTTTTTAAGCTAATTCACAGGACTTATTTTCCCTTTAAAGAGAAATAGTCCACTACTGCAAATATAGGAAGAGAGAATACGAAAGGAAATTAATTTTTTCAGCATTTTTCAATGAATCTTAGCCATTACCAGAACTGGAAGTTAAAATGGAAGTTGTGGCATATCATTATAGCCTTGTCTTTAACAATCTTTTCTACCTCAATTTTTGGTTCCATAATTTTCAGTAAAATTCGTGAAGATTCAGTCCTTTATTCATTCACTCATTTATGCATTCTTTAATCAAATATTTATCCAGCACTGAATTAAGAGCTAGTAATACAGCAATTAGAAAACTGGATATGGTCCCTGTCTTCACAGAGCAAACAGCTAAGCAAGGGAGAAAAACAATAACCAAGTAAACACATAAATGTATATTTTCAAGCTTATTTTTACTGCTATGAAGGAAAAAAGTAAGTGCTCTGAGTATATCTATCAGAGAAAGCAAACCTAGTCTGAGGAGGGCCAAAAGAGCTTCCCTAAGAATTTAACACTTAAGCTAGAACTTAAAGAATACCTGGAACTTAGGCAATGAGAGTGTTTGGGTAAGGAAAACAGCAGGGTTTCTAGATGCAATGGGTAGCAAATATGAAGAACCAGGCTAGAAAAACTTGCACAGTTTAAGGAAATTAAAGCTGTGTGGTTGGAGTTGAGCAAACCTGGGGAGTGTGATTGGATGTAATTCTGGAAATGTAGTCTCGAGCAATGCCATGTAGAACATTGCAGGCTATGGTTGGGAATTTTGATTTTATGCTAAGTGCTTTAGGGAAAAGACTGTTTTAGGAGGCAAGAATGGAAATGGGGAGACCAGTTAGGAGGCATTGCACTAGCCCAGGCAAAAGATACTATTGTATATGTTATCCTAAGTAAAGTTCATTGTTGATATTTTTTCTAATTAGAAAAAAAAAACATGCTCACATGCTCCATGTAAGAACTTTTAACAATACAGAAAATCTCTTTAAAAATAAAGCAAAACAAATAACATTTTCATCTCACCTATAAGTGAAACCTAATCAACAAAGCAAATGAGCACAATAGTACCATACACTTGGAACTAAAGATCAAACTGACAATGATCAGAGGGGAGAGGGAAGGTGAATAACAGGGGAAAAGAGGAGAAGAGGTAAGTCAAGGAACATGAACAGAGGACACATAGGCAAGGACAATGGGGTGATTGACTGTTGGGGTGGGATGGGGGTGGTAGGGGAGGGCAATGGGGAAAATTGCAGAAGTGTAACTGAACAAAAATAATTTTTTTTACATGGTTTAAAAAATAAACAAATTGCCCTAGCTGGTGTGGCTCAGTGGATTGAGTGCCAGCCTGACAACCAAAGGGTCACAGGTTCAATTTCTAGTTAGGGCACATGCTTGGGTTGGGGTCCAGGTCCCCGGTAGGTGGCTTGCAAGAGGCAACCACACACTGATGTTTCTCTCCCTCTCTTTCTCCCTCCCTTATGTCAAAAAATAAATAAATAAAATCTAAAAAAGAAAAAATAAATAAAGCAAAACTGGAGGTGGTGGCCAGATGAAAGGTGAAGGGATTAGCCAAAGAGCATATATGCATGACCCATAGACACAGACAACAGTGTGGTAATAGCCAGAGGGAAGCAGGTTAGGGGTTTGGAGGAAGTGAGCAAAGGGGTGAGGGACATATCTGTAACAGTGTCAATAAAAATTAAAAAATAAGCAAACTAAAAATCACCATTAACCTTAGAAATGATAAATAACCACTCTTACCCTTTTTAGTGGCTCTTTCCAACCTCTTTTCCCCAATGCATAATATAGATATTATTTTCCCCAGATGGGATGATATTATACCTATTGGTTCTATAAGCTACTTTTAATTTCTAGTGTAGTCTTTTTTTAATTTTTAATTTTTTTCCACATTTAATTTTTTATATTTTTAAAGTATATTTTATTTACTATTCCTAATAGAATTTTTTATTCAAGCATATTTGTCTCCATTTTCACCCCACAACTCTGTCCCACCCCATCTATTTCCACCTCCCACCCTCGATCCTACCCCCTTTTGGCTTTTACCATGTGTCCTTTATACATGTTCCTAAAGTGTATTTTATTGATTATGCTACTACAGTTGTCCCAATTTTTTGTCCCCCTCCTCCCTGCACCCTACCACATCCAGCATTCCCCTTACACTTAGTACATGTCCATAGGTTGTATATATAAGTACTTTGGCTTCTCCGTTTCCTACACTATTGTAACCTATTCCTGTCTATTTTGTGCCTATAAATTATGCTTCTTATTCCCTATATCTTTTTCCCCCATTCTACCCCTTCCCCTCCCAACTGATAATCCTTGTGATCTTCATTTCTGTGACTCTATTACTGTTCTAGTTGTTTGCTTAATTTTAGTTTTTGAGGTTCAGTTGTTGATAGCTGTGAGTTTGTTGTCACTTTACTGTTCATAGATTTGATCTTCTATTTCCTAGATGAGCCCTTTTAACATTTCATATAATAAGGGCTTGGTGATGATGAACTCCTTTAACTGTGCTTTAGCTGGGAAGCACTTTATTTGACTTTCATTCTAAATGAAAGCTTTGCTGTAGGTGCTGGGAAGATGACGACGCACTAGGACGGAGCGGATTCTAGCTCCTGTACTCGTGGGTGAAAATCCTGGAAGATCTATAGAGAAACAGCATAATAAACCATTGGTTACCCACCATTTATGAATTTAAAAGACCAGAGATTGTGACCGACGCTGAAACACCAGACAGCGGCAGAGTCAGCTACGGGAGCTGGGACACACATGGCACCTGTGCCACTGCCATAGCAACAGGCCTGAGAACCGGGGAGTCAGGTATGGGAGCTGGGACACTGCAGGCCCCTGTGCCACCACCATAGAGACGGGCCTGGGCACCGAGGAGCCAGCTACTGGAGCCAGGACATTCTCAGCCCCTGTGCCACTGCCATAGCAAAGAGACTGGACACCAGGGAGTCAGCCACAGGAGCTGGGACACTGGAGACCCCTGTGCCACCACCATAGAGATGGGCCTGACTGCCGGGGAGTCAGCTATAGAAGCCGTACACCCCAAGTCCCTGTGAGGGACCTGGGCTCCAGAGGAGTCAGCTACAGGAGCTGGGACACTCTCAGCCCCTGTGCCACTGCCGTAGCAACGGGCCTGGGTGCTGGAGGAGTTGGCTACTGGAGCCGGAACACTCAGCAGTGGTAGGCAACCAGCACAGGGACCGGCACGAGGACCAGCGTGAGAGTAGGTGAAGATGGAGAATATCAAGATACTTGAAGGAGTCTGCACCACTGAACTTCACAGGTATCATACCACAGAAGCTCACACCATAAACCCAGGGTGTCAGAACAGATCAATTTTAGAAGCTGAGACTAACAAGAAGAGTCTCAAACAATGGGAAGACAAACAAACAATCCCCAAATGAAAGAAAAAGCAGAAACTACGGAAAGAATGTTAGATGAAATAGAGGCTAATCAACTATCAGATAGTGAATTCAAAGCACTGGTTACTACGAAGTTCAAAG